TTTGTTCAGCCACCGTGGTAGCTAACGTCCAGATTGACTTGAACTATTGTTCCTTGTGATTCCTGTTGAAGTTTAATTAGAAAATAAATCCTTGTTTTTCACTTGACGTCATCTGAGCCTGCATTTGGGTCATCACCGGTTTAAAACATGACATTTTCTTCTTCTTCTTCACTTTCTGCAGAGCTGTGAAGTTTTCAGCCAAACTCATGGGCCACGTGATGGCCAAGAGGGTGAAGGCCACCATACTTTATGCCACAGAGACGGGAAAATCACAAGATTACGCCAACAGTCTGTGTGAAATCTTCAAGCATGCATTTGACCCTAAGGTACACTTGCATCCACTTTGCATCATTCTAGCTGACCAGCAGCTGATGTGTTGCCATACCAGCAGTAATAGTGCTTCCATAGTGTAATGGATAGCACCCCTGCCTTTGCAAGCAGAGAGCAGGAGATTCTGGATTTAATTCCCAGAGACACCACATATGGCGCCTCCTGTGGCAGCCTGTGTTGGTTGCAAAGACTCACACTGTAAATTTCCCTATTGTGGGACAAATAACGGATGCCATTATTACTATTACTACAGTGGAACCTCGAGATACGAGCGTCTTGACATACGAGTATTTCAAGATATGTGCAAGCCTTTGAGCAAATTTCTGCTTCGAGATACGGGTACAGATTTAAGATACGAGCACATTTACAGACATCTACGTTAGGTGGCCGAGTACTCGGAGCAGTCCACGTCGCCTCACTCGTTCACTTCACGGGTTCGGCGACATCAGTACGCATCTCCCGCGAGTCTTCCGTATTGTGTTTGTGTTATCCACGTGATTTTCTCTCTATTTGTGTATTGTTCTTCATATTAGTGATGAGTCCTAAGAGAGTGAGTGGTAAGGATGGTAGTGAGAAGAAGAAACGCATGATGACTGATGAAATAAAGATGAAATAAAGCATGATGATGAAATAAAGCATGAAATAAAGCATGAAATTGTCTATAAATATGAGCATGGTGCTCACTAAAGAAAGAATACAAATCGAAAAAAGCAAAGAAATAAAAAAGTAAGTTAAGTTGATTCTAAGTTTATGTAAGTGTACGTGTAAGGTACGCTACGGAATCAAGTATCTACGTACAGGCCAACTCTCTTCCCTCCCTTCCTCCCTCCTCCTCCTCCGCACATGCCGCCATTAGCCGCTACTGTATCGTCTGTCTCGAAGGTAAGAACTTATAAATAAAACCACATTTTATTTTATATCACAGGAATCCTTATATACTATATTTTTTTTGTGTGTGTGTGTCTCTATAGCAATTACAATAAAAATTTCCCAGTGTTATTAGCACTAATAAGGGAGTTTTTTTAGAGGGCCGGAACTGATTTTGTTTTCTTTCTGGTATTTCTTATGGGAATAAATGATTCGAGATACGAGCACCTCGAGTTATGAGCTCGGTCCTGGAATAGATTATGCTCGTATCTCAAGGTTCCACTGTATTATTATAGGAAAAAAGCGGTTACTCGAAGAGATCATCTTTATATACCACTTTCTCTCTAGCTGACGAAGTCGAGCCGATGCCAGCCAGAGCAGAGACGACGAGTGTGTAGAAGAAGAAAGTGTGTCTTTTGTCACATCTTCCTCTGCACTTCTCACGAACTGAAGTGCTGCGGGTCAGAGGAAGGATTCGAGCGTGGAAGCGTTGAGCAGAGCAGTCGTTTAAGACGAGATCCAGCACCTCCCCTGGGTTTGAAAATCTGTTTATAAAAAAACAGAGAAAAGCAATGCATCATGGAGTCACACTGTGAGGTGGCAGCATATGATCATCTTGTTAGAGGCCAGGATGGAGTGGTCAATTACAGCCTCCTCCTCCTTCTCTTGCCAAGGGCTCTGTGTTCAGCCCTAATTAACATTCTAAAGTTTTTTGTCACCAGAAATGTGCATCTTAGTGTCAAGATGGAGGTAAAAAAATGCTAGGCAAGTGGAGGCTGTGAATAGCTTGGCATGATGCTCTTTTTGTCTGCAGGTCATGTCAATGGACGACTATGACGTGGTCCACCTGGAGCATGAGACCCTGGTGTTGGTGATCACCAGCACATTTGGGAACGGTGATCCGCCCGAAAATGGAGAGGTACTATATGTTTTTTTAGGAAGTGCACCAATTCTTGCCGATACACTTCATTTCCGATTCCAGTATAAAACAATACCAATATATGCAGCTGTTTGGGTTAAGACGGAGGACACATTCCATTCTCTTTTTTCAGGTCACATCAAACTCAGGTACTGCGTTATCGTGTTTTCTTTAAAAACAATAACAATTGTCAAAATATTACATAATACTGGCCACTAATATCAGTTGGCTGATACTATCAGACATTCATAATATTTAGCATCATGTTTGTCAAGTTAATATATGAAAGTTACATTTAAAAAAAAATTTTTTTGTTTGTTTTTTTTTAGAAATTTGGAGGGGCTCTGATGGAGATGCGCCATCCAACAATAAACACAGAGGATAGGAAGTAAGTTCAATCCCCTCGCCCATTCAGTGGTTGAATTTAAATTGTTATAACCACCGTTTTTCTTTTATTTCGGTTCCTCTGTTTTGAACTTATCATCCAGGAGCTACAAGATCCGGTTCAACAGCGTGTCATCCTATTCAGACACCCGCAAGTCTTCAAGTGATGAACCAGAGGCCAGAACAAACTTTGAAAGCACTGGACCACTCGCTAATGTCCGGTAAGTGACACCAGACCAAGTCAATAATTAATGCTTCATTTGGACCAGTCACTTTCTATTTCTTCACCTTCTTCAAATGCATTTATACTGGGTGACAGTGAAGTGAAAGTGAATCCCTTGTCATTGTGACACAACATACCACCGCACACCCAGTGTGTGGGGGGCGGTGCCATGCTCTGTGCACCTCAGTGGCAACTTATCAGCTGGTGGACTCGAATACATAGATATATTGACATTTTGATATTTTATCTTTTTTTTAGCAGTAGTTTACTCAAAGGGCGAATCCAGAGAACACATAAAACAGTATTGTATTGTCTACAGAAGTGACAAAAAGAAAAATCAGTTGTATTACTCTTTGTAGATATACAGACACCTAAACGCAAGAACTTTGGTGCTTCACATTAACCAATCTCCCTGTGGAGCACCAGGTAATCTTAGAAGCATCCAGGAATTTTAGGGACATGCTCCACAAACTACAGCTCGATCCTCTTATCTTTGGACTACAGGTTGTACAGGCATGTTGAGGTGAGTTTAATGAATTGGTAAAAAATGACTCCTGCAGCTATGGATTGGTTTGCTTTCCTAAAGTTCTGCCCAATCCTTTTGGGGTGGAATTGAATTTTCTGATTCCATTCTTGTGCAAATCCAGCTGCTTCTCACTTTGGCCTTCAGATGTAGGAATTACTCTTATTATTTTTAACTGAAGCTGGTGACCGGCATGTAAGACCTAAATCCTAGTACTCTACCTGGATATCATGATCATGATCTACACTAAACCTTAGAGATTATCTTTGTTATGAACTTTTTTCACCAGTTTACCAGCTTTACTTCAAACTATCTGACTTCAAACTGAATGCTTACATACTGCAAAGACGACATTTGTATAACCTGGTGGCAAAAGATGTAAATGCAAGAAATGTGCTTCTGTTTAGAATGTTATATTTTTGCAGTGCCATTTACAGTGTAAAGTTCACTTGAGCGAGTAAAAGACAGAGTTTTTTTTAAGTGGCTTTTATCACAGTTTTTGTGCAGTAGTCTGTGTGTTTTCTATTACCACTGTCTATTTCACTTACCTTGTGTTTGCCTCTTCTAAGGTTCTCAGTGTTTGGCCTTGGCTCCAGGGCCTACCCACACTTCTGCGCCTTTGCTCACGCTGTGGACACGCTGTTTGAAGAGCTGGGGGGAGAACGCATCCTACGCATGGGCGAAGGAGATGAGCTGTGTGGTCAAGAGGAGTCTTTCAGAACATGGGCCAAGAAGGTTTTCAAGGTCTGACTGGTGGGCTGAGAGCTCTTTGGGCTTGGCTGTTTGAATGTCACTAAGGCTAAGACAAAAAGTTCTAAGACAGGTACCTTATTTTTCGGACCATAAGGCACACCGGGTTATAAGGCGCATTAAGCGAAACAAAACAGTCAGTGAAACAATTCCCGAAAAAAGGGGAACAATCAAGCACGTCCGGATCCCTCTCGTCAATATCCGAGTCAGTCTCGTTGATGTTAATTAGCTGTTCAGTGATGATTCCGGCCTTCGTGAAAGCTCAGACGACATTTCAGACTGATACACTAGCCCAGGCATCCACGATCCATTGGCAGATAGTGGCGTAACTCGCCCGGCGTTGCCTCCCTGTCTTGGTGAATGTGTGCTCCCCTCTGTCATCCAATGCTCCCACGCAGCTCACAATTTAACTTTGAACGCCCTGTTAACACCAATATTTAGCGGTTGGAATTCTGTGGTAAATCCACCCGGAATGATGGCAAGCCCCAAATTTGTTTGCTTCACTTGGGTTTTGAAAATATCGGTGAGATGGGCACGCATGGATCAATAGGGACGGAGATTTGTGGAAAAGGGTAGTGACCTAAGTTGGACACTGGAGGACGTTGTTGTTGTTGTTCGCCCCTCCAGAGTCAGGCGGTTGTCACTATTTTTGTTCGGGATGGTCACCGTATTGTTGTTTTGACGCTGTTCTGTGCGGAAGTTGTGTTTTTCCTGTATCAATAAAAAAGGAGAAATAAATAGTTCTTAACCACGAAAAAATCGCCAGCGATGCATCTGAGTCGTTCTGCATCGCACCATACATCGACAATAGAAAAACACAACTCCGTCTCTGGGTGTTGGGAGGCACGACGCGACATTGCACGGATTTGGGTTATACAACCATACTGTAAAATTGTTGTTGAGCATCTTCTAATTGTGATCACAGAGTTAAAGTTTAACAGTTAAACGTCATTGTTGGCTCCTAGTGTGCTTCAGTTGTGTGCCATCATGTGTGATGCGCTGTGTGGTTTGGCTTTATAAAATCAGTTCGAGCTCAGTAAGCGCAACCAAAAGTAATACATAAGGCGCACCGGGTTATAAGGCGCACTGTCAATTTTTGAGAAAATTACAGGCTTTTAAGTGCGCCTTATAGTGCGGAAAATACAGTATTTTAATTAGAGAACAGTTTGGGATTTGAGTAACTAAACATCTTCAGATGTGTCTGTATTTGATTAGGTTGAATCGGCAAAGAAAATTTTTTCAACTAAAGCAAATATATTTTTTAAAAATTCTTTAAACTAATGATAACCTGTCAAAATTATTGAACCTTTGCTACAGGTTCTGATGTAGCTCCATCTCATTGTTTTTTTTCCCCAAAACTGACTACAACGACGACATTCCATAGTGGAAACGGCACACGCAGTGTTTAGACTTAAATTCGGACTCATACATACACTATAATGAAAAATATAAATATTTTTAGAACATTTGACTTACCCTTTTACAAGTGACATATCTGTGACTTGATTGATGATTCAATTATTTGATTTCTCTTCAACCACGGCAACTCCACGGCTGTGTCAACTGAGAGTATTAAAGAACTGTTACTCTTCTCTTTTTAGCACTCTTTATCTTTGTTCAAACTTAAGGCTGCCTGCGACGTCTTTTGTGTTGGCGATGATGTCAACATCGAGAAAGCCAATGACTCTTTGATTAGCAATGATCGCAGCTGGAAGAAAAGCAAGTTCCGCTTGACGTACACAGCAGAGGCACCGGTGCTCACACAAGGTAAATGAAGTAACAAACAATTGCAAGGTTACAATCATGACCTCCTGTTCCAAGGTTCGGTACATGACAAGTTTGTTGATTTGCTGATTTCTTGAGAGATTTACACTTTCCTGTTATATCCCAGACCTAGATAAAAGTATTTAGGGTTTTAAACCTGGGACATCGCCATCTCGGTGAAACACTCAATTGTTCACCCAGGTTTTCCTCAGATTTCAACTATACAGCATTTTTATTGTTGATCTTAAGTTTGACGGGTAAACCGTGACATGGTACCATTATACATCTCCAGTCAAGACTTAGTCCAAAGCCTTGTGACCTGTAACTGTCCCAAAATAAACAATGTCCAAAACTGATAAGATTGTTGTTGTACTAAATTTATGGGTTGTATAAAAAATCATGAATGTATATGATAATGTACAGTAGCGAACAACTGTTGAACTGATACCAAAGTGTCAAGAATTTGTTTTGATTCTGATTTGCCTTTTAACAGCATTACACGTAATTCACAAGAAGAGAGTTTATGCAGCAAAGATGCTGGAATCACAAAATCTACAAAGTTCCAAATCTAAGTGAGTACACAGACAATATACACATAACATGCTGCATGTGGATTTTCTTTTGTGTGTGTATGCATTCAGTGGAGCAGACTGGAAATGTTGCACTTCATCCATTATCTCTTTTGCAGTCGCTCCACCATATTTGTGCGACTGCACACAAACAACCATGACAAGCTGAGCTACCAGCCCGGTGACCATCTGGGCATCTTCCCCGGCAACAACGAGGACCTGGTTATGAATCTCATAGACAAATTGGAGGATGCTCCACCTGTCAATCAGATAATCAAAGTTGAGTTCCTGGAGGAGAGGAACACGACACTGGGTAAGTGATGCTATTAGCTAAGTCACGCTAGTTACATGAAATTAGATGGCTCATACTTGTGTGAGCGCTTCATGGGCACAAGCATTGTTAAAGCCGCTGCACAGGGTTGGAGGAGGGGGAGTCTGTACCTGGTGAAATGTATCTGGTGAAATGAAAGTTAATTATTTGTCATTGTGACACAGCACATCACTGCACACAACAAAATGTGACCTCTGCATTTTACCCATCACCAAATTGAGCAGGGGCAGCTCAAGCACCTGGAGAGCAGTGTGAGGACAGTGCCATGCTCAGAGCACCTCAGTGGTAACTTAATAGCTGGTGGACTCGAACCTCAAACCGTCCGGACCAAAGTCCTTAACTATCCAGTCACCACTGCCCCAAGTGTAGCAAAGAAAGACTGTTAACTATCACTGTTCGTAATGATGTCTATATATATAATATATATATATAATATTTATATATATTATATATAATATATATAATATATATATATTATATATACTATATTATATATTACTATATAATATATTATATATACTATTTTATATATACAGTGATCCCTTACTATAACGCGGTTTACTTTTCACGGTTTCGCTACTTCACGGATTTGCATCGTGCATTGTGTTCTGCATTCTGATTGGCTAAAAAGTCACTCCGCTTCTTCTCTACCTGTGCGCCAATAACGTTGCGGTTTAATATGTACACGTACGTAAAACAGCTTGCCAAATTGACATTACGTACGTGCAAATTCTCTTGCAATTTCGAGTTTATCAAACCCCATAATGTCGACAAAACGCTCTGGACCGGCAAAAGTACCTGCGGTAGGGACCAAAAGGCAGCGGAAGATGCTGTCTATCGGTGATAAAGTAAAACTATTGGACATGCTAAATGAAGGTAAAAGCTATGCGGCTGTAGGTCGGCATTATGGAATTAATGAATCTTCCGTTCGTTCCATAAAGAAGGAAGAAAAAAACATAAGGAAGACAGCAGCAATAAGTTTTAATAAGGATTCAAAAAGGGTTGCAACTGCCCGCAACAAGACCAGGTAATTTGTATTTTTTTCATAATCATTTTTAATTTTCTCCCGTTCACGGTGGGCGGTGCTAATCTCCGCAATTTGAAGCCTTCTGTTCACGTTGATGATTAAAATTATTATTTGACAGTACATTACAGAAGTTATTTGTTGAAACGTTTCTAAAGTACTTTTATTTTACTTTATTTGTGAAACAAATGGTTGAGACTGTAAAATGGTTTGTTCGTTCTTTCTCTTCTTTTTCTGAGTATTTAATTGTAAAAAAAATAAAGATTTCTACTTCACGGATTTTGCCTATCACGGGTTCTTTTTGGAACGTAACCCCCGCGAAAAACAAGGGTTTACTGTATTCACCCCCTTGGATGTTTTACCCTTTTAGTGCTTTCATAAATCAATCATGGTCAATACAATTTGGCTTTTTTAACACAAACATTTATTGGAAAAAACTCTTTAATGTCAAAGTGAAAACAGATTTCTACAAAGTAATGTCAATGAAATAAAAATATATAAAGAAATATAATTGTTTGCATAGTTAATCACCCCCTTTTTAAGTTAATGGTCTAATTCAATAGAGGTCCAAATTCTTGCCAATAGTCTCACAATTAGTGAAATGAAGATCACCTGAGTGGTGTGGGTGTGCTTCAAGTGATTGAGGTATAAAACACCTGTGTCCCCACTGCTCGTAATGATGTATATATGTGTATATATATATATATATATATATATATATATACAATAGTGAAGGTAGCGTAGGATGGTCTGTATTGTAATTTGTTTTTTGGGCAACACCATCTTCATATCATTCACTTAAGTGGCCGTGGTAAGTGTACATAAATAGTGAAAGTAGACACAAAAAGCGTAAAAAAAGCAGATGGTCTGTTTTGTAATTTGTTTTTTGTGCAACACTTTCATCATATTATTCACTTAAGTGGCCGTGGTAAGTGTAGTTAGTAAGTTGCACAGTTTGTTACCATAAACCTTTCACAGCTTTCCCAACTCCTACCTTCTATTTAATTTAAGTCTTGTCTGGTGTCACTGACAAAACTGCAAATCTTTCCATCAACTCCTGAAAAACATGCTCTCGTACTATTTTAAGAGAATGTTCTACTGTGAACATGGGCCTTGTGATATGGCTATTTTTCTGGAGAAAGAGCAGCTATCTCCAAATCGCAAGGACACAGGATTAACTAGGTTCCTGGGCAAGATTTGATAGACCCAAGTCGTCCCCTGGTCTCTTGTATCATGCAAAAAGAACTGCACATGAAGTCACGATATGAATATACAAGTGTGAGTGAAGGGTTCTTTATGAATGTTTGTGGAAGGGTCCAAATGAAACTGCCCTGTAAAGCTCATTGAGAAACCCTCAAAATCAGAGAAGAGAGGTTTAAATACTGATGAAATGCTTTTCTTGTTTGTTTTGTTTTAATGTTGCTAATGCCTCTTTGACTTTACTTTTTACAGGTGTGATCAGTAACTGGACGAAAGAATCTCGTATTTCTCCCTGCACCATCTACCATGCCTTCCAGTACTTCCTAGACATCACCACCCCACCAAGCCCTGTGCTCCTGCAGCAATTTGCTGCTCTGGCAACCAATGAGAAAGAGAAGAAGAAACTAGAGGTCCTCAGTAAGGTAAACCCACTCACAATCTCTGTGGGTTATCTCAAATACTGACCTTAAGGACTGAGGTGCTTTGACCTTTGATGCTGCCGCATTGAACTTGGCTCTGCAACAGTCCCTGAAATAATTAGGCGGTGTACCAGATTCATGTAAGATTATGTTCTCATGGACCTGACGTCAGGGTGTGCAAGAAAATCCCAATGCTATATAATACATAGGGGAAATGACATGTTGTGATAAACCTCTGAGTCATACTTGAATTTAAATGTCTTACAATTTGGAAACTTATCTTTTCTCTTATTTGAGGGACTTTTTTTCTCTCTTTATTTGTCTCAAATGACATTTGCGATTAGCAAAGAAAGTTATTTAACCCTTGTGTGGTGTTCGGGTCTGTGGGACCCGTTTTCACTTTTTAATAAAAGAAAAATGATATAATTATTTAATTTTTCAAACTGAGACTCACTGGCTTTGGCTCATTTTCTGTGAAGAA